CAAAAGTCGATAGCGTGCATGAGTGTGTGTGAGTACAACGGTGGAGATGGCTGCAGCGGTTGGGGGCGGTTTAACGTGCGTTCATCAGCGCGTTTTTATGTACGCTATATCGCTGCAAGCGACAGGCAGCGGCGTTGACTTTAATTAATTGCAAAAGTAGCCAAGTAGATGTAACAACAACAACACTAATGTTGTGAAAAACAAACAAAACAAAACAAAACAAAGACAATAAGTAAGAAGTCAACGTCCAATAATAAGTGAATTAATTGGCGCTTTGTGAGCGCACATGTACGTTTTCTTTGTTTTATTTTCTTACTTTTCGAATTCTACTTTTACTAGTACTTAGAACACGATTTTTTATGTGCTCCTATTTTCTTTTTTTTTTATAGCTTTCGACTTGTCAACGACCAACAAACCGCGCTGTTAGTACTTACATACATACTCTACCACACCACACGTTGGAACCTCCAAGCTATCTGGCAACCGAGCAAACGTGCGGTACAGTAGAGCACCACACAAAGCAAAGCGGTTTCGGTGGGAAGAGGAAGTCTCACTAATTTTTTGGAAATTTTCCACCACTTCGTTGTGCTGCAGCTGCGTCGATTCGTAATATTTAGCTGAATTCTGTACACACACGTGTATACATATCTACGAGAATATTAAAGCAGCACACATTGTGGGAAAATCGCTAAAATGGTGCTGACGAACTTTGAGTGCTGGGCACATGGTGGTGGTGCTGTTGTTGGCAGCGATGGCTTTGCGCTTGACTCACGTCACGTGGATATGTTCAATACGCGTATGGTGCAGCAGCGCTTAAACAACGCAACCGGAATAGCGGCCGTGTCGCACATCTCCTCGAATGGCTATTATGGATTTTCCTATGTAAATGCAGCGCATGAGTCGGCTGATGACAACAGTCACAACAACAACAACAACAACGACAACATTAATAATACGAATATTAACCTTAACAACAACAACAACAATAACAACAGATGTGTGCCAAATGCAAACAATGTCAATGGCATGCCGTTGATCCACCACAACAACAACCACAGCAGTAGCATGAACGTCAGTGCAATCAGCGTTGACGCTGGCTTTCCTGCCGCCGCTGCCGCCGCCGCTACATTTGGCACACAACGCTGCAAGAAACGCTACTTTGCGAGCGATGATGACTATGCCAACTGCGACTTGCTCAACGGCTGTGACAGTGGCGTGGGTGCCGACGGTCGTGATGTGTGCGTCGCCGCTGCCGCCAAGCGTTGCCGCTTCGATGATGACTACGCTGCCGCGCAGTACTGTAATGGTAATTGCATTCACCTTATTTTCGTTTTTGTGTGTGTTTTGTTAATTTTTATTTGTTTGTGACTTTCTTTGTTTTATTTTGTTTTTCTTTCGTATTTTGCGTGTTGTGTGCAACTGTTGTAACATTTGTTGTTGCATTTTTTATATCATTATTATAGCGTGTGTTTATATTAGCGTTCCATGTGTTGTGTGTGTTTTTCCGTGTTTTCTTTGCGCTACGTGAGTTGAATGAAACATTTATTTTTACTATAAATTTGAAGGTCAAGCGCGCGTAAACTGCATTTAGAACAAATGTATGCAATTCATACGAGTGCTACTGTATTCCACGTATTTTTTGTTTTTTGCAGAGTAGGAGTATGAGTTATTTTGGAACAAATTTTCGTCATCACTTGTAAAAGTTAATTTCTTCCAAACTATGTATATTTTTAGTTTCAAGTTTATCCTTTATTACACGGCAGGTCCGCGCTTCTCTCGAGTATTTTTTGAACAGGGCCCTAGTCATAATAAATAAAACAATTTAATTTAAGTCCTCAGCATTCCATGATTATTTTATGATTTTTTATTATTTCGCTCAACGAAAATAAATATTATTTGATTTTTAGCTAGAAATATTATTAAAAAAATTAAACCCAATATTAATTATTTATTATCTTTGAGCGAAAAAATAAAAATCATAAAATAATCATCATTTTGATCGAAAAATTTAAATCAAATATTATTTTTAATTTTGATTGCTTAAACTCGAAAAATAAAGATCATTGTAAATAACAGTAGAACGTACGATTACAAATACAAATGTGAGTATAAATAGTTAAATTCGTTTTACGACGCTCACAACTTGATTTTTTTACCAAGAAATGTTTTTCATTATTTCTGTTGCTTCATTGAATTACTTTGTTGTTGAAAATTAGATACATATACGAGCTGCATACTGATTTAGGAATGTGTTGATGTAATAAAATTTCCATTCCATTTATTGTGCGTCTTTTTATACGAATTTTTCGTTCTTCTTGAGACCTGCACACAGCCCTTTAAAATTAAAAAAAAATTATAATTATTTTCCGTTTCTGCGCCAAATGAAACCTCTTCGTAGAGCCGAAATGTCTAACCAGCAGATTTTTCTCCCCATTCATCTACCCTCCCTCAGATAATGAATGCAAAACCCCAGTGAAACCCTACTTTTCAGGACAGCTAATATCACTGTTACAGTGCAAAAACCACAAACTGCATTCTAATCCTCTCAATGTTGAATTACAATATAGTAAAATGTTACTTAAGGGACACTGAGCGACAAGGGAAAAATAACAGCTTTCCAAAGATCGGAACTCAGCTGCCTTGGCTCTGCCTTCTCTTCCCTGAAAACAATTTTGCTAAAATTTAAGCCTGACCTAGATTTTCTTGACAATACTAAGAACGAACTAATCGTATATGTGCGTCTGCGGATGAGCCAAACCAAACTATAATTTTCAGGTTTTTTTTTTCGATTACAAAGATTTTTTTTTCCTTTTGGCAGGAAAGTTTTTTGTCTTTAATAAGAAAGATTGTGCTGTTTTCTCAAGTAGCTTTTAAATTATTTTGTATTTTCCTATCAATGTTTCAACACTGCGTTTGCCTAATTAATGGCTTAGCAGCCGTTAGCCCAACGAGGCCGAAACAAATGTGCACGAACAAAAGTACGAAATTTAATATATGGCTCTACAACTTGTAGAACAAATCCAAGTAGGCCGTAAGGTCGTAAACACACAAATGAAATACGAAACCAGTTTCTGAAAAAATATTTAGAGAAAGAATTAAAAAATTACTCTAAAGTTGCCACAGGCAGAAACCGGTTTGTCTGCGGGTCAAATCTGGTAAAGGATTACCCATATTTGTTCCTAAATGTATACATACATTCCTTAACTATTTTTTATATGAAACGAGCCCATTACACAGAGCTGGGTCGTAATGATTCCTTTAGAAATTGAATTACTCCCAATTACAAATTACAAGGAATTGTAATTAGGAATCAATTCCTTCGGTCCACAGCAAAGGAATTGATTAGTTTTTCAATTTTTTAGAAGTAACTTCAAATGTAAGTTTTTTTTAACTCCATTACAAGGAATTTCATATTGTAATTCGAATAAATTACGTGTTAGTAATGTAATTTGTTTCCCCCAATTCCTTCGAAAGGAATTGAAAATGTAATATATTTTCTTCCATTTCCACCATTTCCATTACCTAGAATTACAAAAGTACTTTAGTTTATTTCAATTACTCAAAGAAATAGTAAAAGTAATAGAGAAACTGAAAGTTCATTCACGAATGTTAAATGTGGATTTTTTTTTGTAATCAAAGATTAAAATCGAAACCACACATTGGACATCTTCTATCTACATCTACATATGTGCATATAATATGTAGTATATATAAAAAATTTTGTGTTCGTTTCTACGAGACCTCAAAACTCGAGATCGGCTGAACAGATTTTAATATATATATTTTTTTAATTGTTCGGTATAATACCAAGATTTATGGTACAAAAATTTGGAGGGTTGCCTCCTGTTTTAAAATTTTAAACTCAATTCAATTGATAAAATTAATGAAATATAACAATGTGGGTATTAAATTAAAGAAGTTAAATAAAGATAACCATTGGGGATATTGTTGAGGAGTGTTGTCACCTATTTGAAAATTGTAACTCAGTTAAATTGATAAAATATTGCAGTGTGGATGTCGAAACTAGAGTTTTAAGAAGTCTTACAGTCGACACTATTTTCGAATAGGTGTTAGTCACCCTGTTCCTAAATAAACTTAGCGACATATCGGGTG